AATACTTTAATTTAACTTTTCATTCTTTTTTTCTATCAGAGTTTCACCCTCATCTATTTATCATCTTCATTTTCTGGCCAAATGCAGAAATTACTTTTCTTGGACTTTTATTTTCTGATAACAGCACTTATCTTCAGTCCCAATTTAGTGTGATCTTCCCCCATCACCTTTTACTTTTCTATCAGATATTTTGGCTTGCATGAATCATAAACTAATAAAGTTTTAATTCTAAATGTTTTTCTCTATTTTATCTTTACTGAATTTACTACAATTTCTCTTTTTTTTTCGTGAAAATGGAGAGTCACACTATTGATTTTTCAAGCAATTGTTGGATCTGTATACTTTGATTTGTATCATTGTTTCAAAGGAGATTTGCCTTTCCTCTGGTTTTTGGATTAGACTAATGTTCAAATTATTTCACCAGTCCTAAATCAATACCAGATACCACAGGGTAAAAAAAGCTTAGATATGTAATTAGCAGCAGGGAAGTTCTTTTGAAACCTAAAACATATCAACAAAAACATTTTTACTATTCCTAGAAAAGCTACTCACTGTACTTTTCTTCCTCTTATTTCTGATTCTTAAATATGGTATGTCTTCTTGTTTGAAGCCTGATAATATGACAATCAAGTATTTGTTGTAGGGAATATTTTATTATTCAGATATATTCATTAAACATATGAACTTGGTTCTTCTCTGTAGCTAACTCTAAACTCATGGAATTTTACGTAAATGAATATATATCTTCAACTCATTTATAACTGACTAGAGGACCAGTGTATGAATTTGTGCACAGATGGGGTCCCAAGCCAAGTGGGGGGGCTGGAATGCAATAGGCCTTCCAGGTGAGCAGTGGAACGCCTTTGCTGGCCAGGAATCCGGATCTGTCCCTCTGACATTCACGCTGGTTGTTGGGAGCCTCCTGGTGGCCGCTTTTATATTGTTTCTTCCTTGTGGAGTGTCTAGGGAGGGGAAGTAGCCCCGGTGCCCAAGGCTGACTTCCAGGAGGCCGGCAATGCCGTCAGGATGGTGCTGGTGGCGCTGGTCCATCAGTGCCTGGACTGTTTTCCGGAGATTGGACCTGCAGGACTACTGAGGGAGAGTGTCTGCTATCAGGCTGGTGGGCCACCAGGACAGGTTGGTCAGTGGACCACCAGGGGGCAGCTCCTGTGTTGAGCGTCTGCCTCCTGGTGGTCAGTGCGTGTCATAGTGACCAGTCATTCCGGTCGTTTGGATCGTTCAGTCGCTTAGGCTTTTATATATATAGATTAATGAAGCAGTTGGGAAGTACTGCTACCCTGTTATCTACCCAGATGCATTGAGGCAGGTATTAATCTCTCTGTTTTAGTGCACTTAGTTGTTAACTTCTGAGTTTAGCTGGATTATCTTCAGAGACTTTTTGAATTTTAAAATTTGTCTGAATGTAAGTTCTTTTTCCAAATTCTGAAATACTAGAAACTTTTTTTCAGAACTTTTCTATATCTTTCTACCTTACTTATTTGATGCTATGGATTCTTCATCAGGATTTAGAGAATAATCATGCTTTCCTAAATAAAGAGGGTGTCATGAAACTTCATAAATGGACACGTTAGCATTGTTGAGTAGAATTGTAGATGGTGTGTTATTGGGTAGGGATGCTATGTCTGCCTAATACACATTTTCATTTTATTGGGTATTTGCTAAGAGTGGGTAATTTAAATTACCTACCTGCAATTTAATTCTTGTAGATCTCTGGTTTTTAATCTTGCAAGTGGATAGTAGACATTTAAATGAAACTAAGAATTGGTATGTAATTTACATTTTTAGCAATTAGGTATTAAACTCTTACTATATAACTCATGGGTGTTTGTTACTAAGTAAATGTAGTTTTTAGCACTCTTTTCCCATAATTCATTCAGATTGTAGCAGCTACATAGAATTTAGTTTTGACAGTGTACATAGATAATTTGCAAAGAATAGTTAAGGAACGGACACCAAAAATCATTTAGCCACATGATCTTAATCATGGGGCATGGAGCCTCTCAGAAGGATTATTCTAGTTTTAACTTAGTGACTAAGTTTTTCCAAGAAATTTCTCGACACTTTATTTTATTAACTACTTACCTTTCTTGATTATTTTGGGGTATTTGACTTTCTAAGGGCTTTGGCAACTTTTCGTTTGTCCCAAATTTTTGTGTTTCTTTCCTACTTGGGTGCATTTGACATCTTTCTGGAACTTCTTTGACTTCTATGATACATATTCTCTGAATCTATGTTCAGGTTAGTTTTCCCTTATTTAGCAGCTACGGTCACTTGTTGCAGTTGAGCTCCCATCCTGCGTAGGGACTGTCTGGAGGGCATCACATTATGGTTTATGCAGAGATGTGAAGTAATCTTGCTCAGATCTATGTGTTGTTCATTATTGGCCCCCAAAATGGAGGCATCCTTGCTGCTAGAGAAAAGATCAAATATCTATTTCTTGGGACGGTTGCACATCAAAAGAAGTTTCAAGCAAAAGTCAAATGAACAGATGAAGATAAAATAGGCTTTAATTTATTATAAAAACTAGAGGCCCGTTGCAGGAAGATTCCTGTAAAAATAAGGCTTCCTCAGGCCTATTCCTGCAAGAATAGGGCTTCTTGCGGCCGGAGCAAAGCAGAAAAGGGAGCTCCCTTCCCCGCTGCCTCAATCCCTTCTCCGCTGCCTCGCTCTCTCCTGTCTCCGCTGCCTCCGCTCCCTCCCTTCTCCGCCTCTTTGCTCCCTTCTGCTGTGCTTGGCTTCCTTCTATGCTGTCTTCAGTCTTCGCTCCTTGCCTGCATATGCAAATTAACCACTATCTTTGTTGGGTTAATTTGCGTAGTCACTCTGATTGGCTGTTGGGCGTAGCAGAGTGACACCAATTTGCATGTTTCTCTTTTATTAGTGTAGATTAGCATCAGAAAAGAGATGCTTCATGAACCACTAGCATAGTTCACTCAGGAACCCAGCCTAGACATGAGAGAAAGTGGTAACTCCAAAAGAGGATTAGGAAGAAGCATAAAACAGCTGAAGTGTCCAAAAACCATTCTAATCTGAAATCAAACCACCATTAATGCTCTTAAGAAGACTCATGAGGGGTATTTTTCTGTTTCCATGTCCTGTGCCTCCATGCTTGCAGTGCTCTTCCTGTCCAGTCTCTCACACATTCTCTTTGCCACATTCGTCTTCATCACCCACAGCACCAGTACTCAGACTAGTAAAGACCTCGATTTCCAAACACCTACTACTTGCCCAGCACTGTTCTTGGTGCTTTCACATATCTTATCTTGATCTCAAGGTCAGTGTTATTGTCCCTCCTTAACAGAGGAGGCAGTCCCTTACCAAGATCACACAGCTAGCAATTATGCAACATGAATTTGAACACAGGCTTTTCCTTTCAGTTTTGTGATTTTCCTGTGTCACTTTATTATGATGTGCTTTTCTCTTTCCTGTAATCTTTGTTCCTTAAAGATTATTCCCACTTAGTAGAGTTGCTCAAATGCTATTTTCTTTGTTATTTCCCTATTCAAAAAAACAGAGTCACTCTGTTGCATTTCCTCAATTTTAAATTCAAGCTCTTTCCAATCCTGCCCCACTGTTTTCCTGTTCCCAACTGGCAATACTTGGTGTACTGTTCTTTCTGATGACTAATTACCATATTGAGCTGTACACCTGGAATACTCTGTGCTGTCTATGCCTTCATATATTTTCTTCTGATTTGGTTACCTTTTCCATTGATGTTCCTCCTTTTCTAAAAATTCTTATTCAAACCTTTTGTGATCGAATCCATTGGACTGTTTACTTCTAAACGACACCCCCCCTTCCATTATATATTCACTAGTAGCCCTGTGCACGAATCTGTGCGCCAGTAGCTTGTTGCTGCCCTCCAGTAGCTCTCCGCCTGCTGCCCTGCCCTCCTGTATCTTCCCCTGCCCCCTGCCCCCGCCTCATACCTTGCTGCCCTGCCCCCTCCTGTAGCTCTCCGCCACCCGCTTTTAGCCAGTAGCTTGCTGCTGCCCTCCTGTAGCTCTCCGCTTCCTGCTTGTAGCTCACTGCCCCACCCTCCTACTGATCCGTGATCCTGTCATTATGTGGTCGGTCATTATGCTTCACAGTGTAACAACCATTTGCATATTACATCTTTATTATATAGGATTGTACATTGCATTGCTATGTATTTGATCTATGGCTTATTGTGATTATATATTTTGTCTTATAAACAACTGTTTAAGTTCCTTTCAAGTTTATAGTCTGCCCTTTCCTATTTTACATGACCTCAAAGAACCTGGTAGACATTTTGATCCAGACTGTTTAAGCCAGCGGCTCTCAACCTGTGGGTCGCAACCATCAGAGAACACGTATAGCATATTAGATATTTATATTACGATTAATAACAGTAGCAAAATTATAGTTATGAAGTAGCAACGAAAATAATTTTATGGTTGGGGGTCACCACAACATGAGGAACTGTATTAAAGGGCGGTGGCATTAGGAAGGTTGAGAACCACTAAAAGCAATACTGACTAACTTGTTCCATTTGAAGTCTACATTTTAATTAGATAAAATTAGCAATGTGGTCATGTAAAATAATTTAAGTGATATTTGCATTAAAAAGATTTTTTAAAGACTTGCTAATAATAAGGTCACACTCTAGTCCTATAAACCAAATGGACTAAAACAGACCACTCCCCCACCCTAAATACATAGATTATAATTCATTTTGCTTAAAAATTGTTGTATTCACCATGTGGTGACATTAAGCATATGGAAAACATTTGAAATATTTAGATGTTGAAGGGTATTGCTTCCCTCTGTGATATTATAATTTCCATTTTCTCATCCTTTTTTCCTGAACATATAAGTCCCATCAATGCCATAAGTTGCACGGCAAATACAGACTTGCACTAAAACCCGAAGCAATCCTTGTACCTCTCAGAGATGAGAGTTTGAGGTAATTCTTAGAATTGTGCTAGTCATTTCAATTCTGTCTTTTCTTTTTCCAGGTTTCCTGAAATGCAGTTTTTCCGACAAGAAAATGTGAGAAAAATTCTTACAGATGTTCTTTTCTGTTATGCTAGAGAAAACGAGCAGTTGCTTTATAAACAGGTAATGAAAATATCGTACAGGTGGCATCCATTGACTCAAAATTTTCTATACAGCTTGACAAATGATAGAGCAATAATGTAGCCTTTATTGTATCCAGAGTTGTGTCATAATAGTACAGCAATCAAAGGGCTGCTTGTCAGCTGCACGGTGAGAAAAGTAAGCTCATTGAGGCACATATGCTTCTTCCTTATTATAAGACATTTCACCAAATTGTCTTCTATAAGGCATTCAATCTTTTCTTTCAACTTTTGGGAGTTTGTTTATAAACAACATCTCTGAAGCCAATCTAGTAATAAAACTTTTCAGAGTTGTATGTATAAATATTGTTTCTATGTACAGCATTTATAAATATGCAACATGCTGTGTAAAAAATAAAGTATCCTTTTACTCTTTAAAACTTACCAGTAATATAACTTCAGAAAGTTCCTTTAAATTTTTTGAAATTTATATAATATTCTTTCTGATCCTGATATTTGATTCATTCCCATTACTAAAGTAAAGAAAGTTGTTGGATTATTTTTATTGAAATGTAAATTATTTACTTAATATATAAGGAAATATCTAGGTTTCTCTTGAACTTATTGTAATCCAATAAAAATACATCAAGTTGAGCCCTGGCCAGGTGGCTCAGTTGGTTGAAGCATTGCCCTGTATACCTGAAGGTTGCGGTTCCATTCCTGGTCAGGGCACATACCTAGGTTAGAGCACATATGGGAGGTAACCGATGGATGTTACTCTCTCACATTGATGTTTCTCTCTCTCTCTCTCTCTCTCTCTCTCTCTCTCTCTCTCTCTCTCTTCCTCTCTCTCTAAATCAATAAAAACATATTCTCGGGTGAAAATTTAAAAAAGAATACATCAAGTTGAATATTTTATGTCTTTCTCAAAATGTGCATCAAGAGGGAATTCAAACTGAATTAATAAATTCTCTAACAATAAAAAGTTATGACATGTCCACTTAACAACCACCTAATTTCAGTGTAATATAACAGAAAATATTCACATAGTAAAAGCAGTGTATTTAATTTGAAGAAAACTTGATCCATTTAAAGATAATCAACCAAGTCATATTACACTTGTCCTAAATAATACATTTGTTATTGAGTGCATAGAATACCCAAAGGAACTAATTTTATCTTAGTTTTAATATTAGTAATATGTCTTTTTTTATTAGTAATATGTCTTTATATTAATTACATGGTAATTCTATGAAATACAATTGCATTATATAAACCACTGTTTAGAATGGGAAATGGATAAAAATATATCCCATTCACAATGCCAACCAAACTATAAAATAATCTAGAAATAAATTTAATATAGGCAAAAAAGGTATATGAAGAAAGCTATAAATGAATTAAAGTATATAAAGCCAGACTTGAATAAACAGAAAAGTGATACATGTTTTTAGATGAGAAGACATTAAATAAACTTTTTACCAGATTGATGAATAAATATAGTATCATTACAGTGATAATCTAAGTGAGAGATGTGATTTTTAAAAAACTGGACACATTTATTTTAAATTTAGTGCCAAAAAGCTTTACACTAAATTTCATGTACGTAAAGTAGCTTAATTGATTAAGAGCACTTGTCTAGGTGCATATCCCTTTATTTGAATCTCAGCTCCACGTGGCATTTACTAGCTACATAGGCAATTTACTTACTTAACTTTTCTAATCCTTAGTTTCCTTATCTATTAGAGGAGTGCAATAATAGCATTAACTTTGTAGACTTAAAAATAACTAGTTCTCACTAAGCGTTCATGTTGCATGTTGGTAGTTGTGGTGTTGTTATTATTACTAGAGGCCCGAAATTCGTGCCCTTGGGTTGGGGGGTCCCCTCAGCCCGGCCTGTGCCCTCTCACAGTCCCGGAGCCCTCGGAGGATGTCCGCCCTATGGGGAGCGGGCCTAAGCCATCAGTCGGACATCCTTAGCGCTGCCACGGAGGTAGGAGAGCCCCTGCCACTGCCGCTGTGCTCACCAGCCATGAGCCTGCATTGAGTGTCTGCCCCCTGGTGGTCAGTGTGCGTCATAGCGACCGGTCATTCCGCTGTTTGGTTGGTTTGAATATTAGCCTTTTATTATATAGGTTTATTATTACTATTAACTATATCGGAGTTGCCAGAGAATTTAGGGGAAAAGAAGAGTGGCAAAGGGAGATAGGAACATTTCTATAAATATTCTGTGATCAAACCACTGTGACGGTAGTATGGAAATTGAGAGTAGATCACCGGAACAAACTAAGATGGGTCTAGTTATGTATGCAATCGTAATATGATAAGATAGGACATTTTTATTGACTAGCTATATTTAGCTTTCCATCTAGAAAAAAGATTAAATTATACTTTTATTGGAGAACAAATTCCAGATGTAGTAAAGATATAAATGTAAAAACAAGAATTAGACAAGTATACCAGGAAAAATTTAGGAGAATTTTTTTTACAATCTGTGTAGGAAAGGCTTTCCCAAGCAAGATATCTGGAAGTTATATGCAAAGTTACAACACTAAAAACAAACAAACACCAGAAAGGGAGACTGGGAGAAATTAAATCTCTATCAGTATAGCATTTTTTGGAAGCAAATAAAAGAAAATCCCATTTGAAATGACTTAAACGCTAAGGATATTAGAATCATACTTTCCAAGAATTCTGGGGGCAGAATGATTTTGCAGCATTAGTTCCATAGCTCAGGCTCTTTATCAATGACCCAGGTTTATTTCTATTTTCCCGTTCTCCTCTTCTCGTTGTGTTGGCTTTTATAATGAAGTCTATCCCCACATTGTCTCCTCTCCTCTCCTCTTTTGAATACTTGAAAATACTTCACAGTAAAATATTAGGTAGCAAATCAAGTCAGAATAAAATTATCCCAAAATACAGATTTGTTTTCCTTTTTCCTTTAGAGAAAGAAAAATCTAGATTGAAGAAGTCTTAAAATAATGGAAACAAGTTCCACTGACAAAGAACAAAAACGTAATAACTGCACATGCCATCATTTGTGATATATGTAGCCCTCTGCATTTTTAAGGAAGACTAAAGAGGAATAAGGAAGATCAGATTCTTGATAATTTAGACAAAGTCTATCAATTATTGGATTAGAAAGTATTAGCTTACTTCTGGGTATCAGTTAATAAGACTTAATTACTCCCTGTACATGTTTAAAATCTCATAGATTTTTTTACACAGAAATAAAACCTTCTGTAGAAGGACTGAACATTTAGCCAGATCAAATTTAAGAAAAAACCTTGAGTTTTATCACAAGCTGTTAAAGCTATTATTTTGTACTAGGTGACACCCCGTTTAACATCGACCATATTGTTAATAGTTATGGGATTTTATTGAATTAATGAGACTGTTATCATGTAGTAGAATGTCTTGCTGAGTTAATTGAAACTGCAGAGATTATATAAATGGTATTAATGAACTTTGACTGCCTGATGCCTCAACTTTAATAAAGACTGCTTGGTGGGCTAAATGAACACAGGCAGATAAAAGAACAGGTTCAATTTTGTGAGCCTACAGGCTGTTGATGAAGAAAACTTCGTTACCTTTATTTTCCGATGGCATGGGTTCGGAGTGCAGTGACTGCTAACGATCCAGCAGGGATAAAGGCTTGAAGCAAGCAGAAATGCTTACAGTGTCTATGGCAGCAAAATACACATTTTGGGAACCAAGAAGTATACTGACACTGTTTGTATTATGTTTTGTCAAATTTACAGCATATTGAATTTATGATGATTCTGTCTAGATAATTCTCTTTTCCTTTAGAGATATCTGTATACTTGCCACTTGCAATTATTTTCTGGGTTTTAGTAGTTTAGAATTGAGAGTAAAGCCAACATTCTCTTTCAAGTCTATTTAAGAAAATATCGTAGTTTAGTTGGAATGCAACATTGAATTGGTAAAAGTTGTCTTCATTGTTATTAATTTTTATTATATATAAAGAGCACCCTATTTATTGATGTGAAATATTGAAATATGATTTAGTGTTATTCTTTTCCATTTTTTATATTGTAGGTCAGCTTTTACCAATTTGTTGCTTTGTTGAGTGGTAGATATTTCATTTATTCAGTCACTGTGTAGTGAGTGCTTTTTATGTGTTGAGCCTATAATAGGAGCTGGGTTTGTGTGTGTGTGTGTGTGTGTGTGTGTGTGTGTGTGTGTGTACTAGTATGTCTTGTTCTCTAGGCTGCAAGCTTCATAATGGTTAGGAGCTTGCCCACTTTATTCACTTTTGTGTTGTCAACACATCATAGGTAGTTAATAAATAATTTTTGAAATAAACAAAGACAAATGATGCCTGAACAAATAGAGAATGTGGAGAGAGTAGTATCACAGAAACTAGAGGGAAGAGAACATTTAAAGAAGGTGAGAGATGCATTTAAACAATAAATCTTTCTTATTAAATTAGCCATAATTAGTTAGAAGATATATTGAGGGAAAAAGACCCATTTAGAATCACTACCACTACCAACAACAATAAAAACCTAGTAACAAACCCAGTAAAAATTATGCAGTTCTACAAATTTTTGGATTACAAAATCTGGTGTTCTAAAAATGTCAATTTTCTTCAAATTAATTTTAATGCAATGCCAATAAAAATTACAGTATTTTGTTTATAATTTATGTATTGAAGTTCCCTTGGATGAAAAAATTTAGAATAGGCAAGATAATTTTGAGGAAAAAAGGATAGATAGTATGGATGAATAGAATAATGAACAGGTCTTTACAATAATAAAATTATTTTTAAAATTTAAAAAAACATATTTGATTTTTTTTTCAAGCACACCTTTTACTTTGCTCTTAGGACCCTAATAAACAGCCCAAGAAGCAAAATGGAGAAAACTCACCATTTCCTCTGAGATAGCATTTATTGTGTGTGTGTGTGTGTATACTAAAGTTCTTATTAAGAATATTCCAACCAATGGAATACTAGTAAAATCCCAGCTAAATATGAGAGCTAAATATTCAGTTTATGGTAAAGATGACATTTCAGAACTCTTGGGAGAAGAGGTGTGTTATTCAATAAATGGTGCCCACTTAATAAATTAGTGAAAGGTTTGGAGGGTGGCTGGGGTTGCATACCTATGACATGAGGCCATAATGCAGCGGTTCTCAACCTGTGGGTCGCGACCCCTGAAAATACATCCTGCATATCAGATATTTACATTACGATTCATAACGGTAGCAAAATTACAGTTATGAAGTAGCAACGAAAATAATTTTATGTTGGGGGTCACCACAACATGAGGAACTGGATTAAAGGGTCGCGGCATTAGGAAGGTTGAGAACCACTGCATGTATCAAAAGAGCTTTTATTTCAAGCACCTGGCTGCAGGTGGGCTGAGTCCGAAAAAGGAATCAGCAGTGACTGAAGGAAGAGGCAGGTTTTTATTAGCTTCTGCTGGCTGCAAGCAGTTCTGCTGATGTACAGAGCTTGACTGACATGTCCTGTCCTTGGCTCCTCCCAGCGCCAGATGTCCAGTGGTAGGCTATGCTGTGAACGAGGCTGCACTGCCAGCCTTCTGCAAGATATCTGCTAAGCACAATAAGTTTCCTCTGCCCATTTTATTCTCTTTAACCCTTTCAATTAGTTTAACTCATTTTGAGAGAAAATATATATTTAATCTTCAGGTCAAAATTAAATACTAGATAGATAATTAATTTTTTAAAAAGAAAACTAAAACTATATAACAACCATTGGTGAAATTTGATTGGATTTTGTTAAAATTAGTTTTTGTTAAATTTGATGGGGTGACATTGGTTAACAAGATTATATAGGTTTCTATGACATCTCATCGGTATATTCCATTGTGTGCCCACCACCCAAAGTCAGATCTTCTTCCATCTCTATATATTTGACATTCTACCCCCGATCCCATCCCTCTGGAGATAAGTCAGACATAAAAAGTCAAGAACTATATGATTTCACTCATATGTAGGCTATAAAACTGAAAGCAACAAATGAACAAATAAGAAAGATAAACAAAAACCTCATAGACACAGACAGGATTTAAAAAACAAAAAAAAACCACTACAAATATAAGGGCGGATTTGTGAGATGGTGGTATCTATGCTCATAACTAAGGGAATTCTTTTTGAAGAGTAGCTTAATAGTATAGATCAGACTTTAACAATATCTTTCATCATTTACATAGAAATTCTGCTTCTAGATACTTTATCCTGAGGAAACCATCAAAAATAGGCAAAACAAACAAACAAGCAAACAAAAATTACCACAAGGATATCTATCACAGTTTTTTATTTCTTTTGTTTTTTTGGTCCTTCTTTCTTTCCTTCCTCCCTCCCTCCTTCCATTCCTCTTTTCTCTCCTCCCTTTCTTTTTTTCATTCCTTCCTCTTTTCCTTTTCTTTTTTGTTTTTTCTTTCACATGGTTTTCTACAATAAGCTATTGCTTTGCTGATTAAAATTATGTTTCTTAGTTTTTGGAATAATGAGATTTTTCCAGGAGAATAAAGCCCTACTGATGATTTTAAAGCATAATTAGCAACACAATTCCATTTTTTCTGAGTCTCTACCATGTTCTTCTAAAGCAGGGGTGGGGTACGTCTGGCCTGTAGGCCATACGAGGCTCATGAAATAATTTGGTCTGGTCCTGCCAAGGGATTAGGGGTGAGTTAAATGTTTGACCAAATATAGCAGGCTAATTTTTAAGTTGATAATTTTGTATAGCCAGCGAATGATGTTATAAATATCCAAATGGTCCGTGGCATAAAAAAGGTTCCCCATCCCTGTTCTAAAAAATAGTTTTTTCAAAATTTGTTTAGTAAGGACATGGTTACCTAAAAAAGATCACTATATGGTTATTTGTCCTCATTAACAAGTAAGTTGTCAATGGAACATAAATTATTTTGTAAGAATATCATCAAGTTATTCTTAGAGTTTACTTCCACATTATTTTGTGATAATCACTAAGTTCCCGAGAATAACACAGTACTACTAGATTGTGCAGAAGGCTGTGTGACTATCCTGTCATAGGAACTCATCTCTGATTTCACCAGCAAAAACTGTTTCTTCTCTCTGCTTGTATATTTTATTCTTATTTCCTATAAAGGTAGTTTTTTTTGTCTTTTTTTTTTTTTATAAAAGATCATCCATAGTTATTAAGCAAAAGGGAAATGGTAATTTACTCACTTTCAGAGGCATAAAAGTGTGTAATCTATTTTTAACTTGCTAAAATATGTGTGTGATTTTTAATGCGCAAGAGGAAAAATCATCTCAATTAGCAGGGCAGGTCACTAATTTGGAATGCCTTATTTCCCCACAATAATGGATTTTATAATACCTTTTAAAGACAACTTAGTAGCAAATATATCTTTTTGTGTCTGCCTATTCATATAATTCACAGGTGAACACCAATATAAAGAACAAGAATCATATTGATGAAATCACTAAAGGTTGATAAGTAACCTTATAGTTGAAATTGGACAGGAAAAAATTTAGGTATTCTTCAAATTAAACAATTTGAAAATCATAATTTCAAAACTGTTTTCCATTATACCAGCTAACAGTTCTTTCTTTTATTATCCAACATTTCCAGCTAGCTGACTTCAGCTCTTCCTAAATCTACAGACATCCTAATTTTGAGCCATTATATAATGAAAACATTGGGTGTAATTTCCTTAGGTCTGTAGTTCTTAGTTGCCCTTCTTACTGCAGATCTTTACACTGTAGTTCATGATTATAATTTGCATAAATGAAATTCATATTTATGAGTACAGATCTTGAAGCAACTGACAGGTGCAAGGTTGTCTACCATGCCAATTTATTGTTTGTTGTGTCATTTAAAAGAGAACTGCTCTCCATGTTTTAAAGCAGAATACCATGCTGTGGTTGAATTGGAACCAAAATCTAAAACGAAATAAAAGTCTCATCTTGTAGCTTTTCATTTTTATGATTTTCTATTATGGAAATGTTGGTAGCAGGGACTAGTTGAAAAAGCATTTAACTAGGCTTATTCTGTCCACTAGCAGACTCTAAACATCCAACCCTTTCATTTCTCTTGCTCTTATGTTTCAGGGCATGCATGAGCTGTTAGCGCCTATAGTCTTTATCCTCCACTGTGACCACCAAGCTTTTCTTCATGCCAGCGAGTCTGCTCAACCAAGGCAAGTTTTTATATGAGCTCCATCTGTTTTTCAAGGCCTGCTGTAATCTTTTCTTGCCTCAAAATTTTTTAACTTGAAGGTACTTTTGTAAATTATAAACATGTGGTTGTGTTTCATGTGGCTGCTTGTTAATTCCACTTAGTTGCATTAACATGGTTAATAGTTGTAATCTCAGTTCAGCTATGGGCAAATTTGGAAACATAAATATCTTTGCAAACCTTAAATATATACCAAAGAATGACATAATTAATGGATCAAGAAGAAGAAATTTTTGTTGTAATGACAAAGTGCTAGATTGATTGTATTCATATATATTATCTTCTAATGCCCCATTCTTTTACTACAAGCTGTGTGGGAACCTTGTCTGGGAGATACTTACTCCAAGTTTGAGTCAGTTCAATTCATAAGAGAAAGGAACTAAAATCTAAAACGAAATAAAAGTCTCAGGTTGTAGCTTTTCATTTTTATGCTTTTTTTTATTATGCAAACTTCTAGTCTAGCTTTTGAGATACATTAAACTTAGTCTTTCCAGCAGATAACTTTAGTAATTGTATTTAACTTAAGCTAATAGTAAGAATTTATTTTCTAACTTAAGATACCCTAACTGGAGAAGCAACCAGGAAGCCTTTTAGGAATAGAGAGCAAGGGATTATAAAACTTTGTCAGGGATATTCCATACTAGTCCAGCTATATGCAGGAAAGAGAAAGAAAACACACAACATCTTTATTAATCAAATGTAGCCATCCATTTTGCTGAACATAGACTAGGGCCTTGGTTAAATTAATTTTTGTTTACTATATTACACATTAGTATTGTCTAGTTCCTTTTGAGTTTTTTTTTAAATATATTTTATTAATTTTTTGCAGAGAGGAAGGGAGAGGGATAGAGAGTTAGAAACATCGATGAGAGAGAAACATCGATCAGCTGCCTCCTGCACACTCCCTACTGGGGATGTGCCCGCAACCAAGGTACATGCCCTTGACTGGAATCGAACCTGGGACCCTTGAGTCCATGGGCTGGGACTCTATCCACTGAGCCAAACCGGTCAGGGCTGAGTTTTTTTTAATTATACTGAGTTTTACAAGATCTGTCTGTAGTAACCATGTCTTAATTACCTTTGTTTAGTAATTTTAAAGAATGATAAGGATGAAGTTAGTATGAGATTCTGTTTTCATGTTAGTTTTACCTTTGTTAAAACATGTAGGTGGAATATACTTAATAGGAAAGTAAAGATGATTGAAAAAATAGCTTTTAAATGAGTTGAACATGCTTCTTTAGCTATTTCAATCCACTAAAATGTAAAAGCAACACTACAATAGATTTGTAAGAGGTGCTGTCACTGATTAATTTATGTTGAAATGTAGTAAAAATGGAAGTCATTAAAAGAAAATAAGTTAATGTTTTGATATGACATATTTGACGAGTAACCGTATATTTTTAGGCGTTATTTTGGAAATAAGTAATAGATTTTGGAGTAATCAATGTATTCTAGATCAGGCACATTCAATGAATATGTTGTCACATTTGTATTTGTTACTTGGAATAATTGAATAGTTATTTCATTGTGGTACAGGCAAGGCAGCTAATTTGTTTTTTATATTTAGAGAAAGGAAGGATTTCATTTGTTAATGGAATTGCTCTTTTTATTAAAAAATAATTTTTTAATTTGCAAATTATATGTAAGTTGACTTGTAAATATAGAGTAAGGTAACCTTTGAATCACCTTCTGTTACAAAATTACACATTTTGATTTGTATGTATTGTTTTTTTAAGTGAGGAAATGAAAACGCTGTTGAACCCTGAGTATCTGGAACATGATGCCTAGTAAGTACAGATACTTTCTGATATTTTTATTTTTTATACCATATTTACTGTAGCGAAGGTTTAACAGCATTATATTATTTTTCTACATTTTAGTGCGATGTTCTCACAACTTATGGAAACTGCTGAACCTTGGTTTTCTACTTTCGAGCATGATAGTCAAAAGGTAAATCATATAGTACAGATCTTTTCAGTATGTTTGAAGGAACAAACAATTTCAGTAAGTAATGACATATCATCAGAGACTAAAAGCCATTATCCTATATAATAAAAGGCTAATATGCAAATTGTCCCCTTGACCCGGAGTTTGACCAGGAGTACGACCAGGGGGTGGGGTTGGCAGCCAACTGCCTGCTGGACCCCAACAATGCACAAATTTGTGCACTGGGCCTCTAGTAATTACTTTAAAAAGGAAAATATGAAAATACCTGTGGAATAAGATTGAACTGGGATTTAAACCATATCTCTAATAATATTGGCAGATATATACAAAGGTAATATAAAAATTTTTGTGTAAATAAGTGGAAACTTCTTTTATACATGTATATAATATTCATGCAATGTAACTTACTTAAAATTATTATAAATTTTTAATAAAGTGCATTTATCTACCCGATCTGTTGCTATCTTAGTGAGTTGATAGACATATTATTAACTAAAGTGCATAGATAAACTTTGTAACAAATAGGCTGTTTTATTTTTACTAATGCACCACTATGGAATTTACACATTTAGCATCAAACCATTTTTTCTTACTTTCTCATATTCTTATTTTTTAATTATAAGTTTTACTATGATATAATTAATATACTGTAACATTCACCTTTTTAAAGTGTACATTAGTGAGTTTTATTTATTTATTTTAAATTTTGTTTTATTGCTTAAGGTATTACAAAGAGTATTATATATGTCTCCCTTTTTTCCTCTTCTTGACATTCCCCCGGCATAGTCACAAGATTGTGCAAATATCCTCGCATCTAATTTCAAAACATTTTCTTCACCTCAAGAGAAAATCCTATACCCAATAGCAGTCACTCCCCATTCCCTCTTCCCAGAGCCTCTGCTGTTACTAATCTACTTTGTATTGGTACTTGCCTCTTCTGGACATTTCATACAAGTAGAATTATACAACATGTGGCCTTTATGACTGACTCCTTTCCTTTAGCATAATGTTTTCAGTGTTCATTCATGTTGTACCCTGCATCAGTACTTCATTCCTTTTAGTGGCTGAATAATATTTCATTGTGTGGATATAACACATTTTGTTTAACCATAAATCAGTTGATGGACATTTGGTTTTGTTTCACTTTTTGCTTGCTATGAATATTGTGTACAAACTTTTGTGTGAACAAAAGTATTTTGTTCTTTTGGCCTGTCTCTAGGCATGAAATTTCTGAATTATCTGTTATTGTAAACAAACATATATGCTAACCTAGAGATCAGTATGATATTTTCATTTTTATTACACAATATTGGAAACATTGCAAATTATTCTGGCAAGGTATGTTAAGAGTTTGGGGCACATTATGTTTTATATGATTAATTTATTTTATATTGGTATAATTGATTGCATTCTGGTTAGAAACCATGTATTAGTCAGTCACTTCATTCCAGCTCTTAAAAAAGGAAATGGATAACTAATGCTTTTTATGCCTTTGGTCTAGGTCAGGGCAAACTACTGCCTGCAAGCCAGTTTGGCCTGCCATCTGTTTTTGTACAGCTTGTGACTTAAAATGGCTTTTACATTATTAAATGGTTGAAAAAATATGAAAAGAAGAATAATCATTTGTGTCAGATGAAAATAATATGGAATTCAATTTCCATGCCCATAAAAGAAGTTTTATTGGGATACAGCCATGCCTGTTTGTTTCTTGTTGTCTGTGGCTGCTTGCATGTTACAACAGCAGAGTTGAATTGTTGCAGCACAGACTGTATGACCTGTCAAGCCTGAAATATTTATTGTTGGCTCTTTACAGGGAAAACTTGCCAACCCCTAGCCTTGGTGATAAAGTCTCCCTTCAGCAGAACTTGTTACCTTCTGTAAGGGAAGTTAGAGCAGAAACTTGCTGTCCCTGTATGTGATGAACTACACATGTTGTGGAACAATAACTTTATATTCTTGGCAAGTGATTTGATGAAGTTGTAGACTTATGTGAACATCAGAATTTTGAGCAGAGAGTATTTGAATACATTTAATACAGGCATCATGGTTATTTTATACAGTGGTCATTTTGTATTTTATAACTTATTCACTGTATCTGAGAAACTGAGTGATAAACATGTGAGTTACCACTTAGTTTTACCTACTTATGTTGATATCACTGAGTCAAGTTCATGAAAATGACTAAGATAATGCAAAGAAAGGCATTCATTTTATCAGTGAACACATAGATGCTGTGACCTCTGAACATTTATATTAATTACTTTCATGTCATTGAGTAAAATATTCCTTAAAAGCATATCTAATGAATCCCTTTTTATTATTTTCCTATTCTCTCACCTTTTTACAAAGAAGTTCGAGAAGTTAATATACCACTCCCATATTTAGTTCTTCTAGTTCCTTTGAAAATTCAGTTATATCATTTGCTGCTTATTTCAGCAGACATGTTTTTCCTTAGACTTGTTTGATGAAGAAAGCAGTGCATTGGTTTACATAAAGGCATAAAATCATTATCTTGTTGCAGTTTGTGGACTGGCTCTGCTTTGCAGAACACATTGACTGCTTAATAAATGGTTAGAAAAATTTTCTAGTTTTATTGGTAGTTGTGGCTGTCCCATTTGATCATATTTGTTAAATGCAAACAGCATTCTTTATTATAAGAAATCCTGATGATAAGGAAGTATTTTATAATAGCTCTAGCTTCTCTTTTGATTTCACTGTTTTAGCACTTAAGTGATCTGGAATATTACTTTTGAGTTTCTTAAATGTAAGAGATTTTGTTATAAGTATTCTGAGCACAGGAGAAATATTTCAAGCTATAGTTTATATAAGCCTTATACGACACGAGTCTCTATTAAGCATTTGAAAAATGGACTACATATGCTATTGATTTAATAACTCATTCTATTCCAACTAGAAATTGATTATATGATTTCATTAAGTTAAATATTTTTAAATAGCTTAGGATCACTTCTCTCCAAAGCCAGTGATCGTATATCTGTGGTAGTATGTGTATTCAAAACCCTCAGAAGAAGACTAGATACAGTGATCTGTCTTCCATGGGATTCTTAGCAACCCTGTGTGAGGTCAGTGCCTCCACCCCACACTGTATAGAATTCAGCTGCACAGGGTTCTTCAGGAAAGGAAAACTGCATGACCAAAATACATAAAATGTTAAATCGCTTGTTTTTAAAGGAAATTTGGCTTTAGAATAAACACTGTCTTTTGAATGTGAATACTATCTTACAATTGACACCCATTCAAAAAAAAATAAACCAAACACTTATTTCAATTTAATATCAGTAGGAAAAAATTGTAACAAGAATTAAACTTTTTAATTAAATCTTCTTTAATTAAAAAAATTTAACAATTAAAATCTTTTTTAATTTGAAGAGAATGTTAGCTATTACAAAATTAGAAAAAGGTGTCTTGGATGTATTATTTTTATAATAAATGACCCCAATATAGAGATTTCCTCTTCTCCTGTTTAAATAAATGAATACAAACCAATTGAATTATAAAAATTGGTACAGATTTATATCCTTCAGACCTCAAGACACTAGGGCAGACATGCAGGAAGTACAAAGGACACGTTTCTTTTTTAAAAAAATGTATGCTTTTATTGATTTTAGAGAGAGGAAGGGAGGGGGAGAGAGAGATAGGAACATCCATGAGGGAGAAACAGCGATCGACTGCCTCCTGCATGCCCCCTACTGAAGATCACCCGGGCATGTGCCCTGACCTGGAATAGTCACCTCCTGGTACATGGGATGGTGCTAAACCAGCTTAACCACACCAGTCGGACAGGACACATTTTAAGACCAGAAATGATCCTGGAAAGACAGATGGAACCCCTTCCAGATACGTTTCTTTGTACTAACACATGCTCCTCCTTTCCTCTGTGGTTTCTACCAGTCTGATTAGTCATGCTCTCATGTAGAATTCTCAGTTATTTTCTCTGTAGTCCTCCCCTCCCAACTATGAGGGCAAGAGCTTTTACCTTATTTTTGTGCCCCTGAATCTGGTCCAAAGATGAAAAGATGATGTTAATCTTAGAGATCTCACAGTTTAGGAGGCCAAGAAGTAGTAAAGGAGACTGTGGTAGGAGAGAAGAAGATAATGAGATAGGACTTGATCCTCATTTTTAAATATACTTGGGAGCTCTTCTGTGGAAACACTGGGGAGGGGATAAGAATGTCATCCCCAGGATCTGTAGAAGTGAGAATTCTATAGCCTCACTAATGAATGAAAGGCCTTAGAAACCAGGCTAAATAATTTGGTGGGTTTTTTTTTCTTGAGTAAAAATGATGCGGTGCTATTAAAATGTTTAAGGAGGGCAATTTGGCATGGTCTATCTGCTTCAGATAGATCACAGGCATTTTGGAAGATGGATTTGAAAGCCAACTAAATTAGGGGCAGTGAGACCAGTTAGGAGGAGGGAAATAATTAGTGCTCCAAATCAGGTTATAACAGTATAGTTGAGGAAGAGGAGACATATAAGAATCCCCTGAGTGGTTCTGAGGAACTAAAATTGGTAAAGTGGTGTTCCTATTGGAGGATGGGTTGAGGTATGCATGGGGAAAGGATAAACGTGTGTTTGAGCAGATGATGATGAACTTAATTGTGGGCCTACTGAATAAGACACCCCTTTAGCAATCTAAGATCTCTTGCCAAGATTTGAATGTATGGGGGAAACACTCGAGAGTTCTAGATTATGAATACAGATTAGAAAATCTATGGAAAGGCTTTTGGTTGAAACACTGTGGATGACTGAGATTATTCTGGGAATTGTGTGTAAGTAGAGAATAAAACTAAGACCAGAACTATGTGAAAAAGCAACATTTGTGAAGCAGAAACATAAATTTGAGCTATAGCAGTAGACTGAGGATGAATGATAGGCAGACAATCATGAGTGATGCTATAAATCCCATTTTAGAGAGAGGTAGAAATCAAGGACAATATCAGTAGTCAGACATAAATGTTTGAGGAAACCATCAGATTTGAGGGGGTAGTACAGTTATATCTTTCATACTGTGGAACGTGGGAGAAAATGTTGTACGTGGTCCATATAAATTGTGGGTTGTTTTTTTTTAAATCAGCTATATTTTAGTCTGCTTAGCTATTTAAATTGATAAAGGACAGTTAAAGAACATCTTATTTTCTAGTTTTAGTTTCCTTTATTTTCTGACTTTTTATAGTTTTTAGAGCTCAAATTAAAATTTTTCATTTGCTGTTTTTCATATTCTAGTTTTATGCCACAAGAAATATGTTTTCATTAGAGTGTTTCTTTTAGGTATTATGGCTGATTAGATACACTGCCCATGGACAAATAGACTAGTGGCCACCACTGCCTATAGCCAGAATTATCTTGTAATGCGTAACATCACCAGAGAAATTGGTAAAGGGAATACAGGTAGAAAGTATTTTAAAAGGCGTTTTCTGGCCTTTATGTTCACAATCATCTATATGATGATCAGCATATGATTCTACATTATAAGCGTTTGTCATTAAATAATTATTGATTCTATTTAGACTAGTTGTTGGTTCTTATTTAAACTCCAATTGATAAATGTATTCAGGAACGATGTCCACATATTTGTTAATTTCAAATTGAAATATAATACTTGTTGTATTTTTCTTGTTTTTAGGGGAAAGAAACACTGCTAACTCCTATCCCCTTTGCTAGACCACAGGACTTAGGGCCGACAGTTGCTATTGTTACTAAAGTCAACCAAATCCAGGATCATCTACTGAAGAAGCATGATATTGAGCTCTACATGCACTTGAACAGACTAGAAATTGCACCACAGATATATGGGTTGTAAGTATTAAAAGTTTACATTGCAGATCTACCTAATTATGATTTATGATGATTTCTCTATGTGTAGATTTATAAGAGTAAGAGCAAGAACTAACTGGTTCAGCTCCATTTCATTTCATATCTCATTTCTAACCTATGTGCTAGGCTCTGTGCTCATAGCTTTTACATATGATATTTCACCTAATATCCCACCAACCCTGGTAATTGTTACCACTTTGTTACAGAGGAAGAAACTAAGTCATAATTCAAATTCAAGCAGGATTGGCTTCATAATCTGCAGAGCCAAGTGCAAAATAAAAATGAATGGCCTCCTTTAAAAAATTAGTCAGAATTTTAAAATGGCACTGCAGCAGATCATTAAACCAAGCATTTTAAGAAGTATAGGGTCGCACAGGTCATACACACATGGAGCCAGCCCCAAACCCAAACAATCCTATAATCTTTCCATTTTATTGTATGGTCTTCTGTTCTACCCTCAGAAGTGCATTTTGAAAAGTAAGTTCAATGCCCTTCACAGTGAACATAATATATTAATCTTCTTTAGCCACATAACTCTGTAGCAAAAAAATAGGGAGCTCCCTAGATATGTGTGTGTGTATTTGTATGTATTCATTCAGTGGCTTATAAGTTGAGTAGGCAAATTACAAAGGTAGCACTTTTAATAAATATAAATTAGTTATGCAGTATTACAGACAATAAAAGGATCTTTTATATTAAAACAATAGAACATATCTGTGAACTATTAGGTAGTTCCTTGATAGATATTTCTTGCAAATTCCATCTCTCAATTAGGTAGAACATGAAAAATTGAAAAGATATCATTGAGATGTACATAGTAGATGCTCAGTAAATATAAATTCATTATTTGAATTACAAAGAATCTCAAACAAGTCAAAGGTTTAAGACCAATTTATTTAGTCTAAAGTAAAAAATATCAATGAATGTTTTCTTTATGTCCTCATGTTGTACAGACTCGTTCACTTATAAATATTGAGCTCTCTTTATTCTCTGGAACTACTAAACTATAATTTAAGAAGTCTGATTTCCTGTTTTTAATGATGCTTGTTTTCATTTCTGTGACTTCAGCTTGGCTTCATCATTGAGAGCAGCTTCATCATTCCCACTTGAATTAAGAAAGTTGTGGGTAACATGGGTAATTGGCAGCACTGTAGGTTATTAATGAATTGTAATTTACACTTATAAGTCTAGCTAATATGTTTGTGTTTATAGACATAAAAGTTTCTTTTAAAATAGCTATTAACAAGGTTAGGACATTGAGGCCAGTTAGGAGGAAAGAAATAATTGGGTTGTTATAGCAGGGGTCCTCAAACTACGGCCCACGGGCCACATGCAAATACAAATATTGTATTTGTTCCCGTTTTGTTTTTTTACTTCAAAATAAGATATGTGCAGTGTGCATAGGAATTTATTCATAGTTTTCTTTTTAAACTATAGTCCGGCCCTCCAACGGTCTGAGGGACAGTGAACTGGCCCCCTGTTTAAAAAGTTTGAGGACCCCTGTGTTATAGTATAGCTGAGGAAGAGGAGAGAGTAACTATGTCTTATTATCACCTTAAATATATTGACTTTGTATATTTTCAACTACATTTTATACTTTGATATAAATAGAATACATAATAAGCATCTGTGGGATATGCAATTAATGTCACTTTTGAGGAAGGACCCTCATAACACACTTGGGCTTTGACATTTGCAAATTATGAGCTCTTTACGACACTCATGGGATAAATTTCATATCTCCCAAATTTTATTGTACATCTTCCATTTCCCCTTTTTCTCTAATTTCTGGATTAGCAATTGTTTCGCTGTGGTGGTTTATAATAATTTAATTGGCAAGGTTCTTGGTTATTGATAAATAATCTGCTTAATTTTGTGAAATAATTTTAAAATATTTATATCACAGTGTATTTGTTCTAACACATCACAGTATAATTATGTATGACTACTAAGTTTTTTTAAACGATATTTGAAATATAAACATATGTTAAACAATATAACTTTTAGTCATTAAAGCAGTGTAATTACCTACCTTAAAAATTCTCTTCCAACAGTTTAAGCAAAAAGCTTCCTATTCTAAACACAGTTAATGATTGAAATATTTTTCTTTTCAATGAGTTTTATCTTATACATTTAACTAGAGGCCCGGTGCACAAAAATTTGTGCACTCAGCCCAGCCTGTGCCCTCTCACAGTCTGGGACCCCTCAGGGGATGACCACCTGCTGGCTTAGGCCCGCTCCCCGGGGGATTGGGCCTAAGATGGCAATCAGACATCCCTCTGGCAGCCCTCAGGGGATGTCCACTTGCCAGCGGGGAGCAGGCCTAAACTGCAGTCGGACATCCTTAGCACTGCTGAGGAGGCAGGAGAGGCTCCCACCACCACCACTATACTGGCAGCCATCACCCTGGCTTGTGGCTGAACAGAGCTCCTCCCATGTGAGAGTGCCCTGACCACCAGGGGGCAGCTCCTGCATTGAGCATTTGCCCACTGGTTGTCAGTGTGTGTCATAGTGACCAGTCATTCCCAGTCCTTCTGCTGTTAGGGTCAGTTTGCATATTACCCTTTTACTATATAGGATAGAGGCCTGGTGCACAGGTGGGGGCCAGCTGGTTTGCCTTGAAGGGTGTCCCTGATCAGGGTGGGGGTCCCGCTTGGGTGCCTGGCCAGCCTGCATGAGGGGATGATGGCTGTTTGCAGCTGGTCGCACCCCCTTTGGGGGGGGGTCCCCACTGGGGTGCCTGGCCAGTCTGGGTGAGGGGCTGAGGGCTGTTTTCAAGCTGGCGGGTGACTGAAGTTCCCAACCTCTCCTTTTTTTCTTTTTTTTTAATTCTGGGATTTATTTACCTTCTGTGGCTGTCACTGGAGCTGAGAGCTGGCTTTAGCTCTGAGGCTCGGCTCCAGCTCTGAGACCTCGGCTGCTGAAAGCAGGTATCTGGGGTTGTTTGGCTTCTATAATTGAAACACTGTTGCAGCTCCAGCTCTGACGGCTGAAAGCAGGTTTCTGGGGTTTGTTGAGCTTCTATAATTGCAACATTGTTTCTTAGAGTGCAGCTCAGAGGCCAGCAGCGGCAGGCGGGGAACCTTGGCTTCCTCCTTCACTGGAGCAAGCAAGCCTCCTGTTCGCTTCAGCTGCCTGGCTGCCGGCCACCATCTTGGTTGGCAGTTAATTTGCATATCTCGCTGATTAGCCAATGGGAAGGGTAGTGAAGTTACAGTTAATTACCGTGTTTCTCTATTATTAGATAGGATGTATAAACCAGAATGAGGGATTAGAAGGTGAAGATCCAAAGATAATCTTGTCACCCACCACTGGGTATTCCCCCAGGATTACTCCTGTTAAAAAAGCTGAGTATGTTCCCTTCTATTTGAATAATTATCATGATTAAGAATTATGGGAAGAATAATAAATTATTTGAAATAATTATTAACCATTATTAATATTTATTGAGTATTTTCTGTGGGCCAGGATCATACTGATGGCTTTACATAGATTATTTTATTTATTCTTAGAACACATTGGGATAGGTATTGCTATTATCCCCACTTTTTAGATGAGGAAATTAAGGCTTATAAAGGCTTATTTACCACCTACCAAGAAGCTGAGCCAGGCTTTGACCTTTCAAGCCTATATTCACACCCTAATATGATTCAGTCTATGAGTATGGTAGGAAACTAAGGCATCCACAGGGATTGTGTTAGATTGGATTATAAGCCAAACTCAGGGTGACCAGATTAGCAACAGAGACCAGGAAGGTACAAATCCTGGAATCAGAGGAGTCTTGTTACTGAGCAGAAGCCAGCCACCTATAGAGGAAATAGTAAATCAAAGGCACTGGACAGCCCAAGGCCCATAGCCATGCCAAGGCAAAATGTACATATGTTTTTATATGAAAATTAGACTGGCAAGCATTGTTAAGAGTACTTATGTCTGAGAGGGAATGATGGATGGTGTTTATTTTCTTTATACTTTTTGTTACTTTCTCAGTTGTCTCTATTGATTATAAATTGATCATATAAGAAAAAAATGTGAGGACATAAGTAAGAATGCACTTAATTATTGTTAATGAGTACGTTATGTCAACATCCACAAAACTGAAACACCTTAAAGGTATATTTGAACCATTGTCAGTAATCTTTGAAGAATTACGAAAAATGGAGGACATGGCAAGAATGCTTAATATGAAATAACTCTGTTTTAGCAAACTGCAGTACTGTCAAATGTATTTACCTTAATCTCTGACAATATATTAGAACTTTAAAAAAATAGATAAGTCCCTAGAAGGGAGATTTTTATGTGGAACTATCATGTACTTACCAGAACAGTTTGGACAAGTTAGAGCTGCGTTTTTTTTCCTATCAAATTACCAGATTCGACAAAAACTTTTGACTGAATATTTTTACTTCACCACTTTCCTGTTATATTTTTTTTGCTCAAAATAGAAAATGTGCAGACTGAATGATATTACATTTAGGCTTGAAATGTAGTTTTATGTAACTGCCATGTTCAATGAGTATGGATGAATATATTGTGACCCAGGTGGAGTGAGGTATTTGACACCAGGCCATAGGGCTTTGTCATTGGCCCTGCACAGAATCCCAGCTTTTTAGGATCTGAAAGGTCACTCTTTTACCTACTTATGAAATGCTTCAATCTGATTTCTTTAATATCCATATAAAATAATTGAATATTTCGAACTTAGCAAATCTCTTTTTTTAAAAAAATATATTTTATTGATTTTTTACAGAGAGGAAGGGAGAGAGATAGAGAGTTAGAAACATCGATGAGAGAGAAACATCAATGAGAGAGAAACATCCTTCAGCTGCCCCCCTCACACCCCCCACTGGGGATGTGCCCACAACCAAGGTACATGCCCTTGACCGGAATCGAACCCGGGACCCTTCAGTCCGCAGGCTGATGCTCTATCCACTGAGCCAAACCGGTTTCGGCACAAATCTCTTGTTGGTGAGTTTGATATCATC